AGTGGTGTTCGTGCATCTTGTCAGTCTTTGCAACATTAGTTCACTGAAATTCTAAATTTTCTCTCTCATCCTACTTTCATCCTTTCCTGTCTTTCTCCTACTGCTTCATGCAAATGGGCAACCAAAAGACAGCAATCAAAACCGGCACACGATAGTGCATGGTTAATAGTTGTACAAACTGAAACTGAACTAATGATGAACAGCAGACGAGAAACCGGAAACATAAACCCCGGGGATTGACGAACTGCTACTCTTACAAATGCCTGGTTGCGGTTTGCCACCCTGTGACAACAAGTTTATCGTTCCGTAACTTTCACTTTAGTCTGACAGTGACAACGTGTTATTTGTATTTATCCGGCTGTCTCTAGATCATTTTACCACCCTCATAGCCGTTTGTGATCATATTCAACTTTAAACTACTAGGGTAGAACTGAAATTCGGATTGGTGCTTTTTGAGATATGATTGTGTCTGTCTCGGCATCAAGAAAAACAAAACAAAACAAGCTGCTGATATATATAAATATAAATATACATACATACATCACTCACGACACCAGACTGTGTGCTGAAGCATAGCCGTTAAGAAGTATTGCACAGTCTTTTCCATTGTTTCAGCTATAAGCCGTATGCATCCACAGCACTCTGAACGTCACAGCTACGGCTCAAGCGTACCGTCTATCGGCTCTTCGATTTTATTCAACTCAAGCTCCTTGATCAGCATAATTCAATTGCATACAACCCTAATCGGACTTCTACGTATCATAAATTCAAATGTCACCTAAATTGCTTCACACACTTCTTACAGCAAAACAAACCGATACCCAACGGATCAGACAATTCACCCCTGCCGGCTTCAAACATCCCAATCAAACCCTCTGTCCCCGCGGATTCTGTCTCCCCGAGCTCCGGCCCAACGTGTGCTCCAGCCGGTGACTCGATCTGGAACGGCAAATCTCTGCTTGCTCGTTTGCTTGAATCACGTTGCCTTATCAAATCGCCCAGTTCCAATCCATCTACCTCGAACTCTGCACAACATTCCACCTCATTTGCCTCGGTTACTCCGTCAACAGTGTTGCGACGACCGTTGGAAGCCGCAAACCGCACGAATATGGCCGACTCGGTCGCGGAATCCCCGGGACTTCGTGATCGGCTGTGGCAACCTACTGGATCACCTGTGAATCTATCCAGTTCCAATTCCTCTTCTACCATTATGTTCAATACGGCTCCCGTGATTCGCACGGTAGACTCCGCCTCTTTTGTGACTGTTCGACGTCAGTTGAGCGAGGCAGTTGTGTCTAGTAAGTCTTTCTTTTCTCTCTCTGTGTGTGTGACATGTGAAACCATAAGCATCACACATGTGCAACTGTTTCTCCTGGGACAGTTTGATAAGAAAAACGTTGTTCCAAGTGTATACAGTTCATTTGGGAAATGTAATGTGAGTTTCTGTAAGCAGCTCGAAGTCCCGATCTGTTGAAAAGGGTCACTGATTCGGTTTTGCCAAATACTAACTCCATGTCCCAGTCAATGCCTGTTGAAGTTTTACAGAAAACACGTATCGCGTGTGTGTGCGTGGGAGGGGGGGGGGGTTATCAAAGGATGAAGTACTGCCGAAAATTGNATATATATATATATATATATATATATATATCGAGTCTCAGTTTGAAGGATTCAATGTTTGGAACACAGACGATGTAAGATGGGAGAGAGTTCCAAATCGAACACACTCTGACTGCAAATGATTGACACCGGCATTCCAAGCCGCATTTTGAGACCACTAGTTTGAATGAATGTTCTCTAAGATAAACGTTGGGTGATCATTTCAGAAGCGGGTGACTCGGATGGCTTGGGTTTTGCATTACTTGGTATACCATAATCATATCTCCTCTGATGCGCCGGTAGTGATTGGAATATAACCCCAGTGACTTCAATCTCTGCGTATGAATACCGATTCAATCCCCTGACCATTTTGGTGGCTATCCTTTGTGGACGCTCCAGCATTTTGCAATCACGTCGTAGCCACGGCTTCCATGCCTATATAGCGTGCTCTGTGAGTGGGCGAATGTATGCTGATAGTAGACGGGGGTAAATCGCTGACTGAAACCGGCCAAAGACCCGCTTAAGCAAACCGACATTCTTTACAGCTGCGTTCGATACCTTGGCGCAGTTGAGTGAGCAGTTTAAGTTTTCTTGAATGATGATGCCCAGGTCGTTCTCACTTACGGCTTGTGGCAGTCGTTATTCTGCACTAACGGACGTGTTTACGCTTCTTTGATTGTGGTAACTGAAACGGGCACAGTGCACGTTTTCCGAGGGCGAGCACTGTACACCCGCCCCCCCCCTCTTAAGGTGATTAGAAAATAAAACCAAGGAATTGCTGAACTGACTGTTCTTTGGCACACTAAGGCACGAAAACCCGAATCACTAAACTTAACACCAGTAGGTTCTACAGTTATTTGCAGTTGGAGTCAGCAGTCGTAGTCTAGCAGATGTCTGGAAACAAGGTGACAAAACAATGGTGCTCGTTCATTCACTGACTTTGTATGCGATTTTCACGGCGCTTAGGATGAAGTTTCCTGGTTCAGCTCACAGAAATTCTCCGCGGGGTTTGCTGTTCGATCAGCACAACATATGCACGACGCGGTTTGGAAGTTTTTGTTAGTTTATGAAATTGTATTCATCGTGCTAAGTCAACATGTTATTCACCACTGAGAGGCATTAAAGCATTGTGTAGCTGTTTCATCCTCGTTTGAAACCGTCAGCAGTGCATGGTGGTGGTGGTGCAGTGGTTTAGTCGCTGCCAGCGACATGCTTTGAACCCTACGATCCGAGGTTCGAGCCCCACCACCGCGACTTTGGTGGTAGGCAGCTCTGCTGTCGTCCGGTTCAATAACACGCCTAACCTGTCGGGGCCGTATGTAGTTCGCCACTCCAAGTTCCGGGGCTTAGATTGCCGATTTCAACCACTGAACAGCAGGTCCTCGTGACTATGGGATGTACCCCGTCTGCTGTTCATCACACCTAGGTGTGTAATTAAAAAAAAACTAGGTACTTTAGGCTACATGGACTACAGAGTACGGTTCAACAGAGAAATTTAGTGAATGTATACGCTTCCGAGAATCTCAGGATGGTTTGGGATGAGCGTTATTGGTTGTGGCTGGTCAACTTTCGTTTGCAACTNATCCCCTGAAAGGCTCAGGTTGGGATGGGTGTTTTGGGTTGTGGATGGTCTCTTGCACCTCACGAAATGCTCCTACACGACCAAGCATATGAAATAACCTCTGCTAAGGAGGCCTTATTCCCTGTCTTCCCGTGCTAGCGGGAGGTGTTTTCCCCCACCAAAGTGAAAGGACGAAAAGCCGAAAGTTGGAGCTATAACCGAGTTGGTGAATCATTGGTAGTTCACCTAGTTCACCTTCAGTCCAAACTAACCAAGAAGAGGCTTACGAAGCTCACTCACCCGCATGTTGGTTATGGTACTGGTCACTGGCCCAA